GCGACAGATTCACTGTAAGCTTGAAAAACCCAGACTGCTGGAGAGTCATTAGTGAAGGTTACACAGTTCAAGATTCCTCAGAAAGCACAAACGCATATCAGTGAGATACTCGGCTGTACAAGCCCTCATGCTGCCGAACATGATTCAACATGACAGCACAGAGAGTACGAGCGGAATACATACAGCTGATAAAGGCCGGGCCGCTTTATGCAGGCATATTCTTTAATATGCTTACAGATACATCAATAACAAAGACTTTGTAGGTGCAGTAAAAATATGTCACTTTTAACTAGAATAGACACCAAGCTCCAAACAATCCGAGGTTAAGGTCAGAGCGAGGTGATTGGATGAAAACACGCATAAAAAAGATCAAATAGTTGGAGACTTTAAGAACTTTGACGATCATAGTTTATACTGAACTCGTAAAAAGATCTCTTTTATGTTTGATGGAGATTCATATTCAGTCTTTCCTCGCTCAGAGTTTGTTTATTCATATCGGCCGTGACATTTGAGGCCGGTCGGTGGCAGCAGAATTATCAGATGACGGATGTAGGGACGGGGGAAATGTCATAGCTGCTTCTCTGTACTATGGCACTTTGGATATATCTGGAGAGGAGATTCAGTGCCTCTGTTTATCACATATGATAGTCTTAACAAACCCTGTCACATGGTGAACCGTACTTCTTCCACAGTTTGATGATGGGAACATCAGAGGAGGTTTTTTTTTTTTTTTGTTGTGTGTGTCTTTCTGTTTTATTTGAAAGAACTCAAGAAACATGGCTGCTGTTACCAAGCCGGACATGTTTATGTTTCATGATGGAAGTCATTTAACATTTGTTTGTTTTAGCTTAAAGCTGCTCTGTCTGATCGAGTCAAAATGAGAAACTATCTGTATAAATAAAGAGTGTTGTTGCAAAGTCATAACTCACATCAGAGCTCTGCAAACACAAAAAGACACAGAGATGTCTTAGGCTGAGGTAGAAAAATGTTTAATTTGTTTTATGGACTGACTTTCACTTTTTATAGTACATTTCATTATTATCTTATTGGTTTGTCCACATGCTCTCATAAGGTTTGGGTCAAGAATTTTTAGGCCACTGCACAAGCAACAATGTTTCAAGAAGTTTAATGGTCAAAGATCTAGGGATTTACATCATTTAATCCAAGTAGCAACCACTGGGAAAAATGAACCCAATGCAGAAATGCAACAACCTGCAGTTCCTTGAGTGTCCACTTGAGGCTGACCGCAAAAACCCCAGAAGTCGAAAATGTCCAGTTTTACAGTGGAAATAAACATTTGTACAGCGTAGTTCAAATATACAATTTAGTCTGTATGGCTCATTCCTTTATCTGCACATACTTCGCAGATTTTATGAAGAGTAAGTGTTAATCAAAATTAGGGGCGTGGCTGATCTGACTGACCAGAAGGCGGGCGCATTCTGGCTGTTTGTCAGGAGGCTTACGGCTTGCCTCAGCTCCTCCTGGCGACCACCGTTGATAGGCTTCTAAATTACCCTTTAGTAACAAGTGATGGACGTCACTGAGACCACATCCATGTTTTATACAGTTGCTGTCGCTTGATTAAAAGTGACGCCCCGATAGCAACCGGGCTGAAATGAGGAGGGATATCCATCGTCAGGGAGGTCAAGAATAACTTGTTGTCGAGATTCATTGAGACGAGCTCTCTTCCCTTCTCTTCAGGCAATGCTCCGAGTGTGACCAGGCCAGCAGCGATGAGGCCGATATCGCCATGGAGACGCTACCTGACGGCACCAAAAGGTCCAGGAGGCAGATCAAGGGACCAATCAAATTCATCCCACAGGAGATGTCGCCAGAGCCCAAGAAACATCAAGTGAGGGGCACGGTGTGTATCAACACACTGAAAATCTCATTTTATAACTAGCAGAAATATATATTTTTTTTTACTGCTGAAAATAATGAAAAGTGCGAACGCTCTACTCGTCCTTCACTCTCATTAGAGAGTAATTGATGTCAGTGTCAGCTAATTGATTGATCTGTATTGATTACAAATAATTAACTTGAGTTCTCATTAGTCTGATGCTCTCTTTAAGCTCTCAGAAAGTCACACAAGGTGATGGTTTGTTCCCCCGAGCACAAATAGTTCAATGTTTCCTCCGAAAAAGAGTTTTGTTGAAGAAGGCTGAGGAAGAACAGAAGTGTTTCTAAAAGAAGTGGACAAATCCTCTCCAAAGGGACTCTGATCCTGAAGTGTCTTGCACTATTTCTATTTCTGTGACCTATAAGGTCACATGTTCTGCAAAATCCTCTTCACTATGTTTCTCTAACACTAATATGTGTCTCTAGTCTGTCTCATAACTGAGCAATGATGAGAGAAGTCCATCCTCTCCGTCTTCTGCCTGCTCCACTTTTCAGACAATGTGTGCTCAAATAGGCCGTTTAGAGATTTCCCCTTCATGACATCACAAAGGGCAGTAGCCCCTCCCCCAGGTGGGTGACACTCACACAGCTAGGTGTTTGTTCTGCCCTCTGAGTCTGCCTTCTCACCGTAAACAATAGGACATGTAGCGAAAAAGCCCGAGCCACATCTCCTTCCAGAGAGGGGGCGTGGTCAGACACAGCTCATTTACATTTAAAGGTACAGACACAGAAACAGCCTGTTCTGAGCAGGGCTGAAATAGAGGGGTCTATAGACATGATCAAATACAGGATCAGAGTGGATTTAGAATAGGAAACTTAACAGACATGTTTTGTGGAGCTCTGAGGATTTTTTAAACTGGTGAAGAGGAGAACATGTGACCTTTAAAATAATTCAGATTGTACATACTTCTGTTAAAACTGGTTTGCATTCTCAGTCATTTATTCTCTCAGTGAACATTTTCCTCGTGAGTTTATGAACTGAATCTCTAGTTTCAACTCTTCTTCAATACAGCATGATTTCCATGTCTGTCTCAAAACTAAGCTTTTGTATGAACACATAACAACAGAAACAGATGTTGGGTGAAAATGGTGTTTGTCAGATATTAAGAGAATGTTGGACGAGTGTTACCACTGCTTTATTTCCCACCTTTTCTAACCACCAAATCACCTTTTGATGGAGAATTCTGGCAGTTTCATCACCCGTCAATTTACAGTCTTAAACCAAATTATAAGTAAAATGAGAACATCACTCAAAAGATGAGTCAGCGTTTCATTGTCAGTTTGAAGCCTCAACTCTTCTTCAAAGCACTTCACTGCCTGAACGGTAGACCAATCATGGAGAGACAAGTTAAGAACTATTTTTCTTAATCACTTAGTTTTTTATTTTTAAAAGCAGAAAGCTTCACCATTTAACACGTCTTAGAATAATAGTATTTTCTAAATCCTTTATGTAACCTTACATTGTGTGAATCATTTATTTTTGGATTTCACACACAAAAAACAGGTGTAATAATAACACAATCAATTTAAAATATAAGATAATCAATATGCTATAGATGTGAATACTGTATGTATCCTTTTCCAAGAACTCGTGTTTTTCAAAAGCCATTCTGACCATTTTTCATCATCATCGCCATAAATTCCCAGAACTTTGTTCCTGAGCACAACAGAGCGACGGTGTGTGGACTGTGTCAGCCTGTAGAGAAACATTTGGTGTCAGCTGTGAGGAGGAACACAACCCCTCACTGGATCCTACTTATCTGCTCCGACCATGCTCTGATCCTGAGATACAGAGCCGCCTCCCCGCTCCCTCAAGAAACACTCCAGATTGATATCTGACAGCTCTGTGCTGAGGATTGGGGGGAGGAGGAGGAGGAGGGGGCTGGGCTTGTCTTTTACTTCCCATTTTTCTTTTTTCCACTGTCAATATGTGACCAAGTGCCACTCACCTGGGACTTGAGGGAACTTTCCTCTCTTGGCTGTGGATGCTCTCAGCAGAGTCAATTCCAGTGGATCCACTTCTGACTGCAGCCTGTGTTACAAATAGAGGAATGAACAAAGAAAAGGAGGAGTGGCGTCTGGGCCACTTCTCTCACTCTCTGCACTCCATCTGTCTTAGAGGGGAAATAGTGGAGTGTTGGAGCACAGTGGCAGTCTGGGTTAATGTGTTTTTCTGTTCAGGTTTGGAAACCTAGGGCCCAGACATGTGCCGAGGACCCTGCTGGAGCTCTCGGGGATTAAGCAGCTTTCTGATTTTTCTTGCAGCCACTCGGGCGAGGCACTTCACTGCAGCATTTATCTTCAAATGCAAGGCGTGCAATGGCAGACGCTAAAAGGGCCCTGCTTTGCATTTTTAATGCTTTTACCAGGGCACCCAGGCATTGGCATTTCTCTAAAGCCATGTTTTAATTCATCAGAACTGGCTAATCGACCTCCTGCTGGCCTCTGAGGCTGCACTGTGTGTGTGTGTGTGTGTGTGTTGGAGAGTTAGCGTGTGTGTGCGCGACATACACACATTTACATTTGGCCAAAAGGGCTGTCGTGGCCCGGTGCCACCTTGATGAAGTTGAGAGTCTCGTGGCTGTTATTCATGGTCTGTAGTGCCCGCTGGAGAAAATCGTTTCCAGTCAACCTGTGAGCTGAATTTTATGTAGTATGTATGTAACGTCACCGCTGTAAAAATTAATGCTCCGTGATTTTACACGGCCGAGTTTAATGTGGAGAACTTCTCAAACACTCGTCTAACCAGACTTCATGCGAGGAGCAAATCATTAACACACGTTTGTTCTTCAACACGTGGTGTGAAAAAGAAGCAAACCACTGTTTTATGGAACTTGTTTTTAAACTTTTATTTAAAAGTTTATATTTAGGATTTATGCCTTTTATGTCAGAGATAGGACAGTGGATAGAGTCAGAAATCAGGGAGAGGGAGAGACTGGAATCACATGCAGGAGACGACCCACAGGTCTGATTCCAACCCGGGCCGCTAGCTTGGAGGTGTGAGAGAAATTGATTTAAAAAATATGAGAATTGCTATTTCTCTGAAGAAGTCTAACTTGGTGTTATGAGTCAAAAGCCTTTTTACTATGTGCAGCACGGAGCGAAGACATTACAGTTAGGCTCATACTGCCTTTTAAATACAGAAACCACCACACTATGATCGACTACAGTGGCAGCAAGCGGCAGGCGTAGTGCGCAAATTTGGTACCTCCCTTATCAGCCATCAGTTGAGTAACAGAGGCATAAGGTGGAGAAATACTTTGGTGTTGTGTAACGGTGTAACTGATTCATAAAATATCTAACTAGAAGGAATAAAAGAAGATGTATTTTTTTAAAAAACAAACTTAATTTTGCAAATTGTATACAATGTCGTTGTAATTATTGAAATCAATAACTAATAAATACTCTAATAAGTAGCTTCATGTCAAACAATCTGTGAACATAGTGATGCCATTTTTGAACCTGAAATCAAAAAGAGGAAGGCGTCGAGGAGGAGCTCAGGGTTCGGGAGGTGAAGCAGCTGAAGGTGGCTGTAAAATGCTCCTCCTAATGAGTCATGATTTACTGCTGCCTGCTGCGACCACAGCACTGCCATTAAAACTCCCATACGAACATATGTCATTAATCAGTTTGAAATTATGAGAATGAAGTTAATATATGTAGTTAGTAAGACTTCCTACGCTCTGTTAATTCCTCTAATCCTGTGTGAAATGATTCATGCTTGTTAAAGATGCACTGATGTACTTAATTAAAAGATAGATTTTTGCCGGCGACTTATAAACTGCCTGCGGTTTTAATTTCCTCACCTGAGCAGAGCCTGAGATTAGCTGCGCTGTGCGTGTGAGCGTTTTCAGCTGAACCAGCGACTGATCTGCACCCAGCGCTGCTCTGCCTTATAGATTACTTCAAGGGACGGCGCTTTATTGCAGAAATAACTAAATAACGCCAGGCCCCCCCTTTTTGTTTAGGGGTGGAGGAATAGTTAAGGTGTGCAGGAGCCACTTGGCAGCGCGCTTGCAGTTAGCATTCTTTCTGATAAGTGCTCCATCTGGGGAGCGGTGGCGAGCCAAAGGCGACAGATGGAATTGTTTTCACAATCTGTTTAAATATGTTGTCGATTTTTCTTCCCCTCTTTAAACTCTCCAGCAGCTCTGCGCTCCTTTTGCTTGCACCAAAAAGGGATGTTTGATAAAAACAGCTTGAGCCCTGTGAACCAGTGATCGTAGGCGGCCATCTTCCATCCTGCATTGGTGCAATGATGTGACTAGTTGTGGAGGAGTTAAGGAAGTAGTTCTGTGAGTTTGAAAAAAAAGAAAAAGATGAGTAGTACGGACCCTGCTCCTTCAGCAGTCTTACCTCAAATCCTAACGGGATGGGTTGGACGCTCACTGCCTTAAGCAGGCGGTTACAAATCGGTTCTGTCTCCCTTATATGTGGAGGACTCTGCTGGTCCACTTTGGAGCACCTGGACCTGTTGCCTCAGGGCATAACAGCTGTTGTACATCTTTTATACCACATCTTTTAGACCACATGTTTTAGTCCACATGTTTTAGACCACATGTTTTAGTCCACATGTTTTAGTCCACATGTTTTAGACCACATGTTTTAATCCACATGTTTTAGACCACATGTTTTAGTCCACATGTTTTAATCCACATGTTTTAGACCACATGTTTTAGTCCACATGTTTTAGTCCACATGTTTTAGTCCACATGTTTTAGACCACATCTTTTAGACCACATGTTTTAGTCCACATGTTTTAGTCCACATGTTTTAGTCCACATGTTTTAGACCACATCTTTTAGACCACATGTTTTAGTCCACATGTTTTAGTCCACATGTTTTAGTCCACATGTTTTAGACCACATGTTTTAGACCACATGTTTTAGTCCACATGTTTTAGTCCACATGTTTTAGTCCACATGTTTTAGACCACATGTTTTAGTCCACATGTTTTAGTCCACATGTTTTAGACCACATGTTTTAGTCCACATGTTTTAGTCCACATGTTTTAGTCCACATGTTTTAGACCACATCTTTTAGACCACATGTTTTAGTCCACATGTTTTAGTCCACATGTTTTAGTCCACATGTTTTAGTCCACATGTTTTAGACCACATGTTTTAGTCCACATGTTTTAGAGTATCCCATAACAGTGAACTTTTTGTGATTGACAGAGAACCAGAGGACAGAAGAGGAAGAGAATCCCCATCTGTGAAGACAGAGAAGATAAAATTGAGGTTTGTGATCTTTACTCACTGATACTGTATGTAGGACCGTGCGTGTTAGACCAGCTTGTCACAGTATCTTACTGATATCTAACATTACTGCCCATTAAAAAGAAAAACAAAGCTTCCGCTCTGGCTTCTCCTCACTACTCGTTGTTTTATTATATTCTTTAATTTTTTTTAAATTCCAATTTAAATTCACGATGTGCTTCCAGTCTTTCTCCTAAATTATTCTAACAGCCATCCAGGTTGGCCTTTTTGGCCTTTGTAAAATCTGAAAATCACTTTGATTGCAACAAAAGATTACCACTATTTCTCCAGAAAAGCTGTCCTCATATGTTGTCTAACTCCTCTGTCTAACATATTATTCATTTGAACATCCCAACCTCAATCAGTTGCCCATACATACAACTCTTGATTCTAATGCGCTGTGTTTCCATAGGAACCGCTGCCACGGGAACGCAGACAACGCCAATCTGCATTGCAGAAAAAAACACCCAAAGCCGACGACACGAGGACCGAGTGTACAACCTGCAAAGGACCGGGTGACAACGAAAACCTTGTGAGGTGAGGGAACATGTGTGTGTGTGTGTGTGTGTGTGGCTCGGAGAGGGAGGAGGGGGGTTATTAGACATGCTCAGTGTGTGTGTGTGTGTGTGTGTGTGTGTGGGAGGGTTCATCTCGTGAAGCAGCCATATCCTCCTGATGATTAAAGTTCAGTCTTCATTAGGCTCCGGCCGCCTGTGCTCTGCAGAACGAAGGGGCTGACGGTGTCTTCTCCATAGGCCGCCTATATTGACCTGCCACATACATTTGCACAGTTCATTAGGGCATAATGAATAGCACAATTTATCCGCCGCTTTCCTGGGATTTCAGGTGTCAGCCATCTAATAAGCAGATTTCTTCTTTGACATTGGAATTCTGTGAGAAACAAAGTAGATCGCTGCAGGCGTCTTGTCAGCACACCGTCTTGTGATCAACGTCTCGCACAGAAATGATCTCCATTTTCATAACAACAGAATCCCTTCACCAGGTCTCTCATGAAACACCGCCGCTGTTCATCGCCAACTTAAACCCTTTAACCAACAGTAAGAATAATGTCTGAACACTGGTGTCAGCTTCTAACATGAGACTCTTCTGAATAAACTTTAAACTATGGACAGGAGGCCTTTAATAACAACAGACCTGTATTAATGATGCATTTATTCCATTTACTGTACATAGTATGGACAAAGGCCATGCAGGAGTGCCTTAAACCTGCATTCTCTGAAATGACCAGCAGGTGATGACTCCACCGTCATGTTTTAAAAAAGGTCTTTGAGAACATTTTGTCACGAGTAAATGGTCTCACTCCCTAGTTGAAACTGTTCTTTTTGTACATTATTATCTCATTTAGTGATTCAATAGACGTTAAAGCGCAGTTTGCTTGATGCTATAGGCCCGGACTTGTTGTTACCATAGCAACCTGTCAACCTGAATGTATCATCCCTGTCATCCAAACATACTAGACTTCACGCTCTAAACAACTAAAACTCTGGAGGTGTGGAAACCAGTGGGTGAAGTCACAGTAGGTTCACACACACACACATTGTATTTACCATTTTCTTGCTTTTTTTCCCAGTTTGGAAGCATTTATATTTTTTATTGGGAAAAAAATCTCCGCATCTTTTCTCGCTACGCTTCATATTTTCATTCTCTTTGTTGATCCACTCTTCACACTTCCTCCATCGTCTTCATCATCCTCCATCCTCCTGTTGTTCTTGATACAATAGAAGTGACCTACTATCTACAGAACTGGAACCATTTCTTCAACTCCATCACAGCGGCTCCGTTTGCAAACATACAAATTAAAGACAGGATACAAACAATAGACTCAACCTTCAAACACCGAACAAACATTCAGAGGCCTTTAACATGCTTTGATCTGGGATTCATTCATCTCGCATTCAATTTTAGAATTGACTGATGAACAAAGGAGTGAGTCAGTCTGACCTTCTTAAAACGTGGGACCCTGTATCTCCGTTTGATTGTAACAGTTCATATTCTGTGTTCAGAGTGCGGTCGCAGGCAATGCCTTAACATGTTTTTATCATAGGCTGATTAACAAATTAAATTAACCCTGTTGTTGAACTGATGAAACGTATTCTTTTAAAATGCTCATTTTTTAAAAGAACACATCAGGCAGGTCGTTGAATCACCCGTCATTCACCTTTCACTCCAAATATGTGATCGCTCTTCATTTGCCCTTGTAGATTAAATCGATAGATTCAGACAAACTGTATTAGAGACGTACTTTTCTGACATGTTTATTATATTTAATGTAACAACGTGAAGTTCTGCTTTAAGAATATGACGCACCATGCAGAGAGCGGTTGAGTAGAAGAAGCTAAAGAGAAAAGGCTCAACAGATGTGTTTGTGTTGTTTTCTTCTGGAGCCTTAAAGTCGCTTGTTGCACTTGTTGAGGGGTTTCTGGTCGGTGGGTGTGAGGTGTGCTGCCCTGACTCTTTCTATCTTTGCATTGCACAGGTTGTGAGAGCCCGGGCAGCCACCTCACCTCCATAGACACTCGGGACAGACGACAGTTGGCTTAGAGAGAGAGACACAGAGAGAGCAGATTGAGGCGTTTGAAGGATGCCGCTCGAGTCAGGCCGAGGAACGGGACCATCGCGACCGCCTCTGATCCAAACCGGACCAACAACTGTCCAACCAAAAACTGAGCTGGACTATAAATCTGTAACGTGAAGCCACTATGTGTATGGAACTGATGTTTGGTTAAGTCTGGACTTTTTGCTGACTTTACACACTTCCAAGTTCTAGGTTTTGATTATTTTTCTAGCTCCAGTTGCATCCACTTAATAGTCTTCATCTGCAAATCCTGAACATGCATGTATGTACAAAACCATTTTGGAATAAGCTCAACATCTTTCAAGCAATACTTCAAAACAAAAACGAGTAA